TCAAGGAAATGCAAATTACAACAAGATATCACTTTACACCTATTAGAATGGCCAAAATCTGGAATGATGACAACACCAAATTCTGACAAGGACATGGAGCAAGGGAACTCTTTCATTGCTGATAGGAGTGCAAAATGTTCAGCCACTTTGGAAGACAGTTTGGAACTTTCTTATAAAACTAGAAATAATAGGGCACCTGGGTGGCTCAGTCAGTTGTGTCTGCCTTCAGCTCAGGTCATGTTCTCAGGGTCCTGGGATTGAGTCCCTCATCAGGCTCCCTGCTCAGTGGGGAGTCTGCTTCTCCCTCTCTCTCTCTGCCTCTCCCCACTGCTTGTGCTCTCATTTGCTCTCTCTCTCTCAAATGAATAAATATCTTTAATAAAAAAATAAAACTAGAAATATTTTTACTGAATGATCCAGCAATCTCACTCTTTGGTATTTATTCAAATAAATTGAAAACTTATGTCCACACAGAAATCTGCACACACATATTTTTAGCAGCTTTATTCATAATTGCCAAAATTTAAAAGCAACAAAGACATCCTTCAGTAGATAAATGAATAAACTGTAGCACATCAGACAATGGAATATTATTCAACAATGAAAATAGATGAGCCACTAAGCCATGAAAAGACATGGAGGAACATTAAATGCATTTTACTAAGTGAAAGAAGCCAACCTGAAAAGGCTATTATATATATGATTCCAACTATGTGACATTCTGGAAAAGGTAAAACTATGGGGATAGTAAAAAGATCAGTGTTGCCAGGGGCCAGGATTGGGGAGAAGGGGTCAAGAGGCAGAGCACAGAAGATTTTTAGAGCAGTGAAAACTACTCTGCATGATACCATAGTGATGGATACATTGTCATTATATATTTGTCCAAACTCACAGAGAGTATAACATCAAGAGTGAACCCTAATATAAACTATGGACTTTGAATGATTATGATGTCTCAGTGTAGGTTCATAGATTATAACAAAGGTACCACTGTGGTGGGAGTAGAAGTATGTCGATAATGGGAGAGGTTTTGAATATGTAAGGGAAGGGAGTATATAGAGAAATGTCTATACCTTCAAATTTTGTTTTAAAAACCTAAAACTGCTCTAAAAAAATGAATGTTGTTATTTTTTAAATGATATAAAGCAAAGATTAAGGAAGTACCAAAGAGAAGTCAAAAATTCCAAACTATATTATATCTTTCTTATTAATTTATAGAACAAGCACTCAAAAAATCAGTAAGGACGTGGTTTGATAAACCAATTTAATAACATTGCTTAAAGGACATATACAAAACAACAACTGGAAGAAGCACACACAAGACATTTACAAAACTTTTGACTTATACTGGCCTTAAATCAGGTCTCAAAAATTACTTGAGGATTGAGGGACACCTGGGTGGCTCAATCATTAAGTGTCTGCCTTTGGCTCAGGTCATGATCCCAGGGTCTTGGGATTGAGCCCCACATCGGGCTCCCTGCTCAGCGGGAAGCCTGCCTCTCCTTCTCCCTCTCCCACTCCCCCTGCTTGTGTTCCCTCTCTAGCTGTGTCTCTCTCTGTCAAATAAATAAATAAAATATTTTAAAAAATTACTTAAGGATTGAAATCATGTGCAGTGTGTTTTTTTGAATATAATGCTAATAAATTATAAATGATTGATACCAATAATACTAATGATGATAGTACTAATAATGAACTAATACTATAAATGAATGATAAATCAATATAACTAGATAATCTTTATTCTCTTGGAAATTAGGAAACATCTGAAAAATTCATGGTCAAAAAATCATAAATGTTTAAAAAAATAACTAAATAATAAAAAATCTATATATCATAATATAAAAGCAATAGCCAATGAAATTTTTTAAAGTAAAACAATTCATCAATAAAGCTAAATTTTTTGAAAGAAATTTGATGAATTCCTGGCAAGTCTGATTATGAAAATAAAAGAGAAAGCACAAATAATCAGTATTAGGAATGAAAATGAGGCAGGATGACAAATGATACAGACTAAAACTATAGTAAGGAAATATTGTGAACAACCCTATGGCAGTACATTTGAAAATTTGGAGAAAATGATCAAGTCTTAGAAAAATATGATACCGAAACTAACCTTAACTCTAATCTTAAACCTAGCATTATAGGCAAGCAACCAGGAAGGAAAAAAATTTCAACCTGTGACAGTATTTTTTTTTTTTTTGTTAGTTAACATACAGTGCAGTATTGGTTTCTGGGGTAGAATTCACCTACATACAACTCCCAGTGTTCATTACAAGTGCCCTCTTTAATACCCATCCCCCACCCACCTCTCCCCATCCATCCTCAGTTTGTTCTCTATCATTAAGAGTCACTGTGGCTTGTTTCCCTCTCCCAAATGTCCAGCAGCTGATGAGTGGATAAAGAAGATGTGATAGTATATTTTTTTAATTTTATTTTATTATGTTAGTCACCATACATTACATCATTAATTTTTGATGTAGTGTTCCATGATTCATTGTTTGCGTATAACACCCAGTGCTCCATGCAATACGTGCCCTTCTTAATACCCATCACCAGGCTAACCCATCCCCCCAACCCCCTCCCCTCTAGAACCCTCAGTTTGTTTCTCAGAGTCCATAGTCTCTCATCGTTTGTCTCCCCCTCTGATTTCTCCCCTTTCATTTTTCCCTTCCTACTATCTTCCTTTTTTTTTAAACATATAATGTGTTATTTGTTTCAGAGATAAGGTCTGTGATTCATCAGTCTTACACAATTCACAGCGCCGTGATAGTATTTTTAAAATTATATGCCAAAGAAAGTGTCTCACAAAATATGTGCAAGACCTTCTCAGGAAAATTGTAAAACTCTATCAAGAATGTTAAAGAAAAACTAAATAAATCTATGAATTGAAAGACTAAACTTCAAAGATTTAAATTGTTCCAAAATTAACAGTGGATTATGTAAGACTGTTGAATTACAGACCTGTACCTCTGAAACAAATAATACATTATATGCTAAAAAAGAAGAAGAAGAAGAAGAAGAAGAAGAAGAAGAAGAAGAAGAAGAAGAAGAAGA